GGTGGCCAGCAGCAGGAGGTACTTCCGCAGGCTGTACTCCCATGGCTGCACGGGCTGATCCATTGGCACTGACTGACGGCTGCACCTGCTCTCCACAGCTGTGATTCCCTTCCTCTTGTGTCAATTATAGGAGAGAGAGATGGTTTCGTCGTGATTATAAAACGACTTGACTCGGCGGGATGAAGGTGCCCAGTCTCTGCGCGCTGCATAGCAATTTCCACATGCGGACGGACGGATGGGCGTCAGGCTCCTCCGAGAAAGTGAAGCAAAACAACCAAGTCTTCTCCGGTCAAATAAAGCCTAGCTTTTTAGGATGAAGTCGATCGGAAACATCGTGATGAGCACGCGTTTGCGTTTTTGGATATCTTGGTGTAGATCATCGTTGGACTGATGCTCTTCGGCCTGGTCATGATTCCCTTTTATTCTTAGTATACGACAGCCTTCCTAGGTGTTACTACTTGGATATTTTCTCCGTACGTGTGTTCTTTGGATCCTCAATCTCTATTCTCCTTATTATACAAGCCAGGTCTTTCTGGCCTGGCACCTTCTGAGCAAGTGTGCTTCCTCTTCTTAATCATTGTCATTCAGAATGGCGAATGCCATGGCAGCGAAGGGTGAAAAATCTAGAGTGGTGCGAGTGTATCTCTCTACTATAGTACACATTTGTTTGAATATTTGAATCAACCTTCATCTCACCTGTCTTCCCCGCCGCTTGCAGAATAAATCTATTTGTAGCCGTTGATTCTGTTGGATCGAACGGCTCAGGTCACGTGGATTCGCCAGTCACAGTGCTCCCGCCAACCTAAAATCCAGTCGCTCTTCTAGAGAACTCCACATACCACGCCTTCGGCAAATAGATTGCCAGCCAACCTCCCTTTGACTGGATGGATGAATGCGAGGAGAAACCGATTGATGAGCCCCATCGCGGTGGAGCCGTGGAGGAATGGAGCGTGGTACATGCCGGCGTCTGCTGCGCGGGGCCATGGCTGCCGGATGCGAGCGCCGTTGTGCCTGCCGACTGCCGAGGAAGACTATTAGCTAGGTCGAATGGCGAGGTCGTGTGCTTCACCGGCTCCACGGCGGTCCTTACGTAGGCGTTCCTGGGTTGAGGGCAGGGACGGGATCTGACGAAGCGGGGCGGCGGCGCGCTAGCGCTCTGCTCGACACTCAGGCAGAGGCAGAGCTAGCGAATTGTGGGCTTGTGGCCTGGGCCTGGCGTTATCTTTTTTTTTATGACATGATAATAGAGTGTTTAAGAACTGGATGGAGTGGCTACAGCTGGCCCGATGGCAAGCTTCCTGGCCCATATGGCCGAGCGTCAGGCAAAAAAACGCATTCAGACTCACCTAAAAAAAATCGCATTCAGACCAGGTGGGATGGGCGAGCGAGAGCACTGTTTGCCATGATTTTTCACGAGTTCCATTATGCACATATAAAAAGAAGATGTACCATGCATGTAAGTACAATATGAACATATATACCATTTTCTGGTAATTATTTTTGGATGTATAACCCTTCAATAATTCTAGCCCAGCCCCTGGGTGCATTCCATCTACGTACAAGTGATGTATAATGCGTACAAGTGATGTATAATGCATGGAGATGATCATTTTCTAAACAAAATATGATCCCATGACGTATTGACTGCAAGTTTGTAAAGTAAGTACTAACTACAATTTCTTCACATATTTTTCATAATTTAAGAGTGGAATTTTTTTTAGGACATTGTAACTTGGCACACGCTTTTTCTTATTAACTCGGCACGACGTTGCAAAGCTAAAGCAATTCATGTATGCTATGTTTGTATTGAATTTTTTTTCTTGTCCATTTGAAAATTGTAAATAATAATGCACACGTGCAAAGCACGTGCCTTCGACTAGTACTAGTACAGTATATGAAAAAGACTTGGCTCGGCGCGAGTCGTCGGGAGAAGCTGCTGAGCCTCTATCATAAAAAGTCTGACAGAGCCGTCGAGGAAGCGAAGAAGCAACATGCCAACCAGCAAGTCTTCCTCCGGTCAACCAGGGGCGCCGCTGTTGAATGCAGGTTTTATGTCTAGGAAAAAAGCATTTGCATCTGACAGATCCGGCTGTGACGTGGTGTGTGGTCATGTTGATTACGTCAGTGCAACTCGTCATGTAATTGCGTCGGAGTGAGCATCCTATGCAGCCAATCTTCATCGACCGGCCGATCAGTCTAAAAGAACACGGTTTGGCCCTCTTGTCATACTTTCATATGGCACTAGGCCCACTAAGGGCATGTTCAACGGCAACCCGTAAATTTTCTTTTGCATCCGGATCAATCCGCAAGCACGGATCCAACTATTAGCCGCATACATTTCAAACTCTTTTCCAACAAATTGGATGAAATTCGTGCAAACAAGGCCGGATTTCATACAAACATGGATGATTTTCATTACATTTTGAACACTTAGAACAAAAAAAAAAGACCCGACTCTAAATCTATCCTATGGCGGTGGCGCCCGGTGTCCAAGCCCGTATCGTCCTTCATAGATGATCAGTAAATATGGACGACGGATTTTAAAGCAATTATAGACGGTGGATCCATGAACGACATGGCAGAAAATTCATTCTCGATGTCTTGCTCGAATCGGCTTGTTTGGGCCAACCTATAGAGTTGTGGTTGTCGGCGAGCAACATGTACAGTGTTTTGGCTCCTGGGTGTACATATACAGAGATAATCGGTAAATTATTAAAGAGTAGCAATAAAATTCAAAATAAAATATTTTTTACAAACATTGATGAATGTTTCACCTGTGTGCAATGTTTCGTTAAGAAGAACATTTGTAATGCTGTAGGAAGAAAAGTTGATGCTTCAAAAGACTATTTTTTAAAACATTTTAGAGCATTGATTTTTTCCCAGACCTCCATGAATGGCATTCAATCACGGAATAGGTACAGAACTAAGCAACAATTGTTATTAAAATATCTTTTTTCTTCTTTCTCCTGTGTTTTTAAAGTTTTCTGTTTGCAAAGAAAGTATTTAAGCTCAGGTGTAGAATGACACTTTCGGGCGAGCAACTCCCTGACTATAGAGAGGGAATGAGAATGCAGGAAACGATAATCTCGGGGGGTGGGGGGGGGGGATTATAGCTTATGTTGTCATTCCTTGGGTAATTCGTTATAAATTTTACCTAAAAGAGAGAATAAGTATCTCTCAGATTCTACTACCAGTACTCATTCGGGACCATACTGTATACTGGGACAGAAATGACACATCTAATATATGTTCTCTCCACAACTCCATTTTTCTAAATGCATATTTCTCTTTCCAATAGTTGCCAAATGTATCGTGCTAGTGAGATCAGACGTCTTCTGGCTCATGAAAGAAACATTAGTCGTGAACGTGGCGAGTCATGCCCTTGCATCTATATGTCGCTCGCAACAACGTACTGCGTGCCGGCTTCGTAACTGCCATGTGGAGATAGCTAGCATAGTTGACTTGGATTGCAATCACTATGCTTGATCAATGAAAGTTTCTTTCCCGCAAAAAAAAAAAATACTTGTAGTTCGCTTCTAAGAACTACTCCCTCCGTTCCTAAATATAAGTCTTTATAGAGATTTCAGTATGAACCACATACGGATGTATATAGATGCATTTTAAGTGTAGATTCATCCATTTTGCTCGGTATGTAGCCACCTAGTGGAATCTCTACAAAGACTTATATTTAGGAACGGAAGGAGTACATGTGTTTTGAGGTTAACTTTGACTATCAATTTAAGCAACACAATATCGAAAATAGTCATATAAATCGTATTTTAGAGATGTTTCTAATGAGAAACTTTTTTTTTTGGCGAATAACCTTTCAGGCTTATAACACATAGCTCACATATTCATTTTCGTTACATTGATGGTCAACATAAATCTCAAAATACCAAGAAAGTAAGAAGTTTTTAGTCTATAGCCGTGTCACAAAATACCCGACGGCCGCATGCATATAGCCATGTCACAAAATCTGCTACACTATGTACTTGTACTACTACTGTACATTGTATGTTTGTGCCTCCCATTATTAATCGATGTAGAGTCCGTTCTTATCTTAAAAAAAACATTTTGTTGCTTCAGTTTGGATAATTTAATGGTGAAAGAAGATGAACTACTACCGCCCAGGCTGCCGGTGTCCGCGGTTCGTTTCTGAATGCCACTGTTCGCACGAGACGCAGCAGCGCGGGAGGCGAGCCAGGAGCCAAGGCGCCGCTCCTTCTCTCAGGGGATCGCCGGCAACGGCGACCGCCCGCCCCGACCTGCACCTGGGCAATCTGCCCATAGTGCAGAAGATCACAAGGAACGACTGCTGCTAAGCCAGCTGGATTCGAGCCGCACCTGCATTCACGCCTCGAGCAACTGCATTCCGATCGAGGCGACCCACGCTCGAGGAATCCTCTCCGGCCAAATTGGCTCCATCCTCTGATGCTAGCTTACGTATCTATCGACCCACGGTAATGGCGGCTTGGTCGTCTCAGTTGCCATCTGCATGCGGGGATAGGGCGCCCTGCAGGTGTTCGGTGAATTGCCCCACTAGGGAGGGAGATCACGCAGCTGGCGTCCCATAGCCCCTTGGATTCAAAGGTATGTTTCCTATCCATCATTGATTACTAATTATCATGATTATACCAAGTGACATATGTTTCCTAAGTAGTAACAAATGCTTCAAGTTCTTATGAAACGTAAAGTGCACATAGGGTCAGGAAAACGTCACCTGCCATGCATATTCATTCGATTAAGATGCACACACTTGCTCAGTAAGTCGACAAACAATGTAAGCATGCTCGACGTAGATGCAGGTTATTCATCCGATTACATCAACTAGAGCAGGAATCTAAAAGGAGGGAAGCTTTTTGTCAAGCCCTTGGGCAAGGAAGCAGAGCTAGCGGTAAGCTGATTGGAGATCTAAATACAGGATGAAATAAATAGGTCACAGCCCAGATGAGCAATTGCTCTCACATAGTATAGCGGCGCTGCAGATATGTCTTGGGGCTTCACGCTGCAGGTCTCTCTTTGGATTTCTTACGGTTACAAACAATACGTGCCAGCGTCATATGGATTGCAAAGTAGCCCAGCACAGCAATGATGAGCATGGTGACATAAACAGACGTCTTCCACCCCCTGTTGGAGCCGGCTGCATAGGCTACTAGGAGAGCAATCAAATCCAGTCGGATCGTCCAGTTCATCACCCTCAGCGACTGTTCCTCCCATTCTCCTTTCGCCTTCTTTTGCAGCCATTGCCATAGCAAAATGATGATGACAACTATGGAAGACATGAAGGAAATGGAGTTGCTGTAGAAGAATGCGAGGTACCGGGGCCTCCTGTTGTTGTGCATCACTGGGTCGCCTGCCTCGTACCCGTTGCCACTGCTCTGCCATGCTCCACCTGGCGGTTTCAGGCCGGCCTGGTAGGCTACGCTCGCCACCAGAATGCCTAGCAGCATCAGGTACTTGCGCATCTCGTGCTTCTTCCTTTCTTCACCCCCGTTCTTTTCTTCTACCTTCTTCCCTTTTTCTTCCTTCTTCCCTTCTTCTTCGTCTTGTTCTTTGGGTGCCGAATTGTTGCCATCTTCCTTCTCTTCTTCGTCCTTTGTTTTGGGTGCTGAATTGTTGCTATTTATGTTCGGCCCCTTCAGTAAAAATACTAGCAGCACTACAACTGCAACGAAGAGGACCACGACCACCAACGCGAAGATGTAGATGGACGTCTTGAGGTGTTGCGTGCTTCCCGCGGCGTAGGCTACCATCAAACAAAATAACCCCACAGCCGTACAAACAGATAGTGCATTGCTCCGTATGGCTGGCCTGTACAGATTAGGGTTCACCAAGAGGATGATGAGGGCGATGGACAGCATAAAGCTCACCGAGTTGGAGTAGAAAAAGGCGTTGTAGCGGCCTGGGTAGTTGTACAAGAGGACCGGGTCACCAGCACGGTGCCCGAGCTCATCGTCCTGGAGCAAGAAGCCGCCAGGAGGGGTGAGGCCGGCTTGGTAGGTGATGGTTGCTGCCAAGATCGCGAAGAGGAGAAACCGTTTGCGCCTCTTCTCCAGCAAACGATCTTTTTGGTCGTTGTTTTCCGTAACCTTGTAGTCCAGCGTGAAGAAGACGACATGGATCACCACATAGACCAAGATAGCACCTGCCAAGGCCATGGCATAGATGGAGGTGCTCACGTCCCGGCAGCTCCCGGCAGCATACGCGCCAATGAGGCCAAATAGGTCGAGTATCATGGCTGCCTCTAGCACGTGGTGCTTGACCAGATTCTCCTCCTGGACCAGGATGATGGCCACCAAGGAGGTCACGAACGCAACCGAGTTGCAGTAGAAGAAGGCCTTGTACCTCCTAGCGTTGGTCGTGAGGAGGATGGGGTCGCCGGCCATGTGCCCATCGCCGTTTTCCTGCCAAAGGCCACCTGGCGGGTCCAACCCTGCCGTGTAGGTGATGGTGGCGGCAAGAGTTGCGAGGAGTAGAACAAGAGAGCGAGCTTTGTCCAGAAGCTCCTTAGAACTGCATTCATACATTGCAGAGAAAAAGAAACAGAGCTCAGTTGAGTTGCAGAGAAAGAAAGAAACAGTGTATCTGCTAACAGGGGAAAGGAAGAAGAGGATTTTCAGTTCAGTTTCGTACCTGTGCTGAGTTGCATCAGTTTGTCTTGTTCTACAGGAACAACAAGACAAGGATTCTGACGGTAAAGTGCGGAGTAGGATGCATGCCAATGCCAGCACGACGCCGGCCAGGCTGACCACTATGGCGGTGGTACCAGTGTCCCTGCAGCTGCCAGCCGCATATGCGCCGACGAGGCCGACAAGCGCGACGACGATGCACACGTAGAGCACGAAAGATCGAGCAGGGAGCTTCTTGCTGTCGACAATGAGCAGCATGGTGATGAGCAGGGACGCCACGAACGCCGTGGTGTTGCAGTGTAAAAACACCCTCATGCGCAGGTTGTGGTGGTCGTTGAGAATCGCATCGCCCGGGCGGTGGCTGCCGCCGGTGCTGTCCCAGAAGCCACCCGGAGCGTTCAGCCCGGCAACATAGGTGATGCTCGCAGCGAAAGTCGCCAGGAGCATCAGGATCTTGCGGAGCCGTTCTTGGTCTTTCTCTTTCAGTTCCTTGAGGGCCTTCTCGTTCTGGGACAAAACGCCGGAGCCGGATGAGTCGGAGTGCTTGCCTGACCACCAGTCCAGCAACTTGACGACGACGATGTAGAGGAAGACGGTGGCCACAAGCACCGCGAAGTAGACGGTGGAGCTCTTGTCCCGGAAGGTGCCGGCGCCGTAGGCGCCCATGAGGCTGAGCACGTCCAGAATCATGAAGCCCCGCAGTGGCAGGACGACCTGGACGGCGTCCTTCTTCTTCTTCTCCTTCTCCTTGTCGTGCTGGACGGCGAGGATGAGGATGAGGACGATGACCACGAGGGACGCGGCAAATGCCGCGGCGTTGCAGTAGAAGAAGGCGAGGTAGCGGCGGTAGTGGATTTGGCGGATGATAGGATCGCCGGCGAGTTTGCCCTCGTGGATGACCTGCCAGACGCCTCCGGGCGGGTTCAAGCCGGCAGCGTACGTGACGGTGATCACCAGGGTGGCCAGCAGCAGGAGGTACTTCCGCAGGCTGTACTCCCATGGCTGCACGAGCGGCGCGTCGTCGGCCATTCCGATCTCTCAACTCTCAACTCTCAACAAGTGAGCTTGCTCTTTCTTAATACTGTGATGCAGAGATCATATGGGGGTAATAAGACGACTTACTTGACTCGGCGCGCGTCGTCGGGGGAGGAGGTGCCAGCCTGTGCGGTGTGCGCCCTGCATATTCAAAGCCTGAGGGAGCACCAGTATTTTACTATCACTGTTCTATTTTTAACAGCAACTCCGACGTGTGTGAAGGTGCGGAGTCAGGGTCGTCGGTGAAGGGAAGCAGCCAGGTCTTCTTCTGGCCGTCGCCGGGCTGCGGCGTAGCTGCCGATGGCCGATGGCCGGTGGCCGGAGGCCGGCCGCACCGGAGGGACACTCGGCAAGTGCATTTCCCTCTTCTTTTCTGGCTATTGTGATGATGCAGAATGGCGAATGTCATAGCAGCGACAGGTTAGAAAGGGAGAGTGATTATATTATGTTATGGAAAGACTTAACCTGGCGCGAGTCGTAGTCTGGAGAAAGCTGCCAAGTCTCTCTGCGCCCTGCATATCCTATTTTAAGGTCTGACAGAGTGGAGTATTGTACTGCTTGCTCTCCCCGATGTCCATGTGAACGGATTCAGGTCATCGGAGAAGGGAAGCAGCAACAAGCGGAACCCGATCGTAAGAAAAATTAGAGAAGCTACAATACCCTAACTTTCCTTCTTTTTATCCATATAATTATGATCAAAATGACTTAATTTAATTTGCAAATTGATGATATACTGTGTACATTTATATTAATTACTTACAAACAAATTGATGGTGAAATAAAATTAATTTTAAATTATTTATATCTATAGTAAAATACCAACAGTAAACTATCTACTAACTACCTACTAACAGTCTCTAACTTCCCTTCTCCATTTTGCACTAGGCTGACACTGTATCACCGTGATTTTACTTCTCAATGTTAGAGGATCCAGCTCCGCAAGCAAGCAAGTCTCCTTCGGTCAAGTAAACTAGTGAAGCAGTTTTAGTTCTTCCAAAACATCGTGAGGAGCGTCATAGTTGAATGTAGTTTTTTTTTATCTAGTACGTACTAGGAAAAACTATTTGCAACCGAGAGAGCCAGCTGTGACGTGATGTTTGCTAATGTCCAGTACGTCAATGAAATTCGTCATGAAATTGCACCGGGTGAGCGCCCTCTGCAAACAATCTCCTTTTTTTTTGAGAATCCGTACCCAGTGGATTAACTCAGAATATTGTCAGGGATACAGATTAAGTTTGGCTTCACAGCCAGCCAAACATGTCTACCAAAAGGTAAAGAAATAGCAGCTTTAGCTAAGGAATGTGCTTCTAAATTTGAGTCTCTTTTCTCGTGCAAATCATCGGCCGAAGCAAAATCCTTCAAACTCTTCCTCAGCTCAAAGATGATTGCTTTAGAAGCTCCCAAATAATCAGACTTGAGGTGGATCACTGTATTCAGACAATCAGTAGCCACCACAATCCGAGTGCAGGCAAGATCCTTTGCTAGAGAAAGAGCCTCATTTGCTGCCATGGCCTCCAGAACCTCCGGTAAAATGAGTTCAGCAACAGAAACCGCCGACGCACCCAAAAAGTTACCTGAATCATCTCGGCAAATAGCAGCAAAGGCCCCCCTATCACCGTGCCTCCCGACCGCAGCGTCAACATGAATTTTAATTGAACCCGCTGCAGGTGGTCTCCATGTGGCCCGATGACGTACATGCATTCTCGGATGTTGGACTGCAGGCCGGAGATGGACTAGCTCGGCCTCATGTATGTCCTGTAGATACCCTTTTATGAAAGAAAAAGTAGTTAGAGGTGACTGAAACTGCTCCTCATGAATGACTTTCCTCCTTGCCCACCATATCAACCAGAGGGTAACAAGTAACGCAAACAATCTCCTCGGCCGATCGATTCTCAATCTAAAACAACACAGTTTGGGCCTGTTGTGATGTTTTCATGTGGAACGAGGCCCGCTACGTCGACGTCGGTAGAAATGGCCGCTTCTGGTCCGGCCCAACAGAAGCTAACGTGTGTGCTGTGCTGTCTAGTGGCCTAGTGGGCTGAGTGAGAGTGAGCACACGGCACACCGCCAAAAAAAGCCATCGCCTCCTTCGTTCTCGTCGGGATCCTTCCCCTCCGCCGCCTATCATTTCGATTCTTCTCTCAACCTCTCCTTCCTGGTTGTTTCCTCGTTGTTGCGCCATTGAGGATTCACTTCAGGCCAGTAATGGCATATGAGAGAGGCCGGAGTGTGAGCATTGCTGGGGACCGGTCTGATGATGAGGAGAAAGGTGTGCTCACATGGTGGTGTTGATGTCCTTGTGGTGAGCCGGCGCCGCTGGGGACTTGCGTGCAGTGGAGTGCGGTGGAGCAGACGGGACACACAGGCGGCTTGTCGGGTGAGATTTTCATTTAGCACATTATCAGACATGAAGACATGCAGGGATGATATCCACATGGCTCGTCCGCGGGTTGGCGGCCGGTTTTGGGCGCTAGCCGGATCTGAAGAGGACGAGGCGGACGGAGACGACGACGATCCGGCGGCATCTCCGCCAACACCGACTCCTTCTGATCTTTTTTGTGAGTTTTTCAATTCGGGATACGATGAGGATGAGGTGGCCTCAACGGTGGACAGGATCCTGCCGGTGGACGATCCGGCAAGGGTTGGGCTACACGCGGGCGAGAGGAAGGAGATGGTACGTCGCGTCGTGCACCGGAGAACGGCAGCGACGGCTGTCCGGCCATGGAAGGGACCCCTTCTGAAGGTTAGTCTTCCAAACCTCACCCTTTTCGATTTGATCCGCCCAGATTCTTGGACTAAAGTTCAGAGGAAGAAGAAAGCAATCCGATCTGCTGGTGAATCCCGGCGGCCTGCGGCGGCCGTGGCGCCGTTGCCGGCGAGGCGGCCGATCGGGATCGTGAAGATACAGGAGATGCGTTTGAACGCACTCCTAGGCCATGGGCACGGTGTGCCTGGGGTTGGGCCGGTTCTGAGTGAGCCGGGCCCGATCGAGGTTGGGCCTGTGTTAACTGGGTATGAGGCTCAGTACAACCAGGCACGTACGTCCAGTTCGACTACGTCTACACCCCCATGCACGATCGAGGGTCCTTCAGCGGGTTTTCGATCGAAATGATCTAGGGTTCTTCGAGCTGCGTGCCGACCGAACTTCTCCAACCGTGGTGCGGGGCGTGCTAGGCGAATTCCTCCTCTCCGCGGCATGGCCGGTCGAGGTCTGCTTCCTGCCAAGTCCGGCGCCCCGGGCGGTGCGGGCCGTGGAGGGCAGGTGCCGCCGGCTGGAGCTGGCCGCGGCGGGGATGCTTTGCCGCAGGGGGCGGGTCGCGGCGGTGCTGGACTGCCGCTCGGGGCTGGCCGTGGTGGCGCTACCCCGATCCCGGGTTCTGGGTCCGGCCGGGCGGCGCAGGAGGCCAGCGGCCCTAGACCGCCGCTGCCTGGTGGTGCACTCGGGCCCGGCGCGGTTGGCCGCGGGTTGCTGCCTGCGGGCACAAGGCCACCGACACCGGCCATGGGACGGGGTGGCCCTCGGCCACCGGTGCCGAACCCTGTGGCCGTCGCGGGCCGCGGCACCCCGGCTCCGAGGCCACCTCCTCTGGCCTCAGGTAGCCTGCTTCGTCCCGTGGCGATGCAGCCCGGGGCCAGACCGCCGCATTTCGTGGCCCGGCAGGCGCAGAATTCTACGGCGTCGGTGTTGAAGCAGGCACAGTTGCCGCAGATTTCGGCTAGGGGGGGAGACTCATCGGTGGCTCGTGGTCAGTGGGGTGACGATGGGCTTAACGCCTATGGAGATGGACAGCACCGGGGATCCTCGTCCACAGGTGGTGGGCGGGGGTATGCCTGGCAGAGCGATGGCTCGACCGAGAGGCCTTTCCTGGGGCCAACGGGCGACTTCGTCGAAGGGGCGTCTGGACTGGCTAATCATAACCACGGTGGTTTTCGTGGTAACCGTGGTGGCCGAGGTGGCCGCTATCGTCCAAGGCAGCATCAACGGCGGTTGGCGAGGCTACTGAGGAGACTGGGTTGTCGAGCCAGGCTATGGAGGTGGTGACGGCACTGGCGGACGTGGTGGTTCCTGGTAATGGTGAGGTCGAGTTAATGTCGGTGGAGGCCTCTGACAGGGCTGAGCTGGACAGGGCGGCCAAGTATGCGCACAAGAAGGAAAGAATGTTATGTTACCGCTGTGGCGATAAGGGCCATTTCATTGCTGAGTGTGTGGCAGTTTTATGCGATGCGTGTGGCAAGCCAGCCCATGAGTCAGGGGCATGTCCGCTTTTGAGAGAGCAGGTACCGAATCTTATGATGTACAGATTGTACTGTTCCGAGCTCATGTTTTTTGAGTCTCCGACCGAGAGGGAGGTTCCTGATGAGGTACACAGTATGACAACTGGGGTTGTTAAAGTGACTAAAGGTGAAGTATCTGAGACCCAGATTGTGCAGCGGCTCCGGGAGCTGGCTCCAGGAGACTTCCACTGGGAGCTTGTCAGTCTAGAGGCAAACTTGTTCAGGGTTGAGTTCCCGACTGAAAGAACATGCGGTGTGTAACGCCCCGGATATAACTTTCCATATTCGTAACTCTGACTCTTGCCTTTTCCGGAGATGCTATATGATATTTCCTTCATGGTTGGGTTTTTGTCGTTTGTTTTGTATTTTGTTCTTGTTATGCATCTCATCTCATAGCATCATGTGCATCGCATCCATATGTTTTCATAAAACTTGCATCCGTTCGGGTTTCCCCGATTCTCTCCGTTGTCCGTTTGGAGTCCAGACACACTCGCACGCGCCCGCGGCACCTCCGAAATATTATTTTATAAGAGGCATAAAAATGTTCTCGGAATGGGTTGCAACTTGTCGTGCAGTCCTATTATAGTGTAGACAGGCCGCCTGCCAAGTTTCGTCGCATTCGGAGTCCGTTTGACTGCACAACCGTTATATTTATAACCGCGATATAGTCGGTTTAATCGTCGGACGTTTCGGTCTCCGAAACTGCCACCGGGTCGCTC